GTTATGAATCTTAGTGCACCAACTAATTTGACCATTGAAGTTCATTTATTAAGTAAAAGTTCAACTCAGACCCACCTTTACTATAATTTTGAGCAAACAAATAAATGTTTTTAAGTATTACTCTTGTTAAATCCTTGTTAAAGTTCTCCTGTGCACGCTCCCGTGCACACTCCCGTGGCCGCCAGTTGGCAGCTAATCAATTTTTGGCACAACACCAGCCCACATTTCCGGGTTGTCAGCTGTGACACATAATAGATGTGAGTTATACGGCAGAGCGACATATTTATGTATTTTTCCACTTCATGAGACATATTTGGACTGATGATAGTTAAAGGGCAGAGCGACGTGTACGGTGGAAAATACAGTACTTCCAACGATGAATTGAAGGGAAAATGTTTTGGGGGGTACAGCTTTTTATGTTTTTTTACATTGCTGCTGAAAGGTTTGTTTACTGAGTAAACAAATGAGCCTTGTTGTGTTTTTCCTCACACCGTCTCTGTTTTATTAACGTGCTGCAGGTGCGAGCTGCTCCCCCTCCACCCAAACAGCAGCCCCGTCGGCAGCAGGACAAGAGCGACAAGACGGAGGAGGTGGAGATCACGCTGGTGTGACGGACGAGCTGTCGTTACAGGTGCACAAAAGATGGAACTGTAAGAAAAACAGGACCTTTGAGGGAGGGGGTGGTGCTCTGAAATAAACTGATGAGAACTGCTGAACCACACCGACCCCTCCCGGACACTCTGCATCTTCAGGTTGAAGAGGAGAGCAGAGAGACAGCAGCCATCAATGAGTCCTCTGACCTAATGAAGTGCAGCAGAAGAGTCCCTCTTCATCCTCCCCCGTTCTTCCAGTCCGGCATCAGAACCTCACCCCTCCTCTCAGGCAGCAAACCGGAGCGCCGTGGAGAAGAGGAGGAGCTGATAAACAATGTTTTTTCTTTTGTCTCGTTAATCTGAATACAAGGCAGCACAGAGGTGTTCTCTTCTTTTTAAACTCATTTGACAACACGTTATTCTTAAAGCA